ATTAGTTATAAACATCAATGTAAATAGTCTCAATTCACCAATCAAAAGAAACAAATAGGCAGAATGGATCAAGAAACAAGACCAAACAATACGCTGCATACAAGAAACACTTAAACTCAAAAAGAAATTCATAGGCGGAAGGTCAAAGGATGGAAAACAATATGCCAGGTGACAGGAACCTAGAAAAAAAAAAAGCAGGGGTAGCTATTTTATTTGCAGACAAAGTAGATTTCAAGCCAGGACTGATAAAGACAGACAAAGAAGGTACTGCATACTTGGTAAGGGAACAATCCAAGAGGAAGAGACAACAATCATAAATATATACGTGGCAAATACCAGCACACCCAACTACACAAAGCAAATATTAATGGACAGGAAAAATCAACTAATCACTAATATAGTTGTAATGTATCCCACTTTCACAAATCAACTAGGAAAAAACAATCAACAAAAATATCAGAACTGAACCAAACTTCTGAACAAATAGACTTAGTAAATGTCCACTCCACAACATCAGAACACACATTGTTCTCAGCTGCACATGGGATGTTCTCCAAAATATATCACATACTAGCTCATAGAACATGCTTAAGTAAATGCAAAGGAACTGAAATTATCCCATGAATATTATCAGACCATAGTGCAATGAATTGGAAATAAATGGGAAAAGAAACCACATGAATTTCATAAACACATGGAAATTAAATAACACCCTCCTGAACAATCAATGGATAACAGATAAAATTAAAGAAGAAATTAGACAGTTTCTACAATTAAACAATAATGCCAATTCAGCATATTGGAACTTATAGGATGCAATGAAAGCAGTCCTATGAGGGAAGTTTATAGTGGTGAATACTCCTATCAGGAAAACAGAGAGGGCTCAAATAAACAACCTAATGTTGAACCTCAAGCTTCTAGAAAAAGAAGAGCAAGTTAAGTCCAAAACTCATACAAGAGAGGAAATGATAAAGATCAGAGCAGAAATTAATACAATGCAGACTAAGAAAACAATACAAAGAATCAATGAATCAAAGAGTTGGTTCTTGGAAAGATTAAATAAAATTCTCTACAGCCATACCAACCTGAATGCGCCTGATCTCATCTGAAAGATTAAATAAAATTGACAAACCCTTAGCCAACCATATCAAAAAAAAGAAAGAAAGAAAAGATTCAAATCCATTAAACATTATCTAGCATAATGAAAAGGGTGAAATCACAACAGATTCTGCAGAAATCCAGATCATCAATACCTACTTCGAGAGCCTGTATTCTAATAAGATAGAAAACACAAAAGAAATGGACAGGTTCCTGGATATATATGCATTACCAAAGCTGAACCAGGAAGATATAAAAATTCTAAATAAACGAATATCAGTCAATTAAATTAAAGATGTAATTAAAAACCTATGACAAAGAAAAGCCCGGACTCTGATGGATTCACTGTGGAATTCTACAAGAAATTTAGAGAAGACCTAATGCCACTACTTCTCAAACTCTTTAATGAAATTGAAAGAGAAGCGATACTCCCAAATTCATTCCCGGAAGCAAGCATTACTGTGATCCCAAAACCAGAGAAGGATTCAATCAAAAAAAGAGAACTATAGGCCAATCTCTCTAATGAAGACAGATGCAAAAATCTTCAATAAGATACTGGCAAACAATGCAGCAAATCATCAAAAAGGTTATACATCATGAACAAGTAGGATTCATCCCAGGGCTGCAGGTTCAATATATGCAAATCAATAAATGTCATACACCACATTAACAGAGCCAAGGACAAAAGCCACATGATCATCCCAATAGATGCAGAAAAAGCATCTGACAAAGTCTAACACCCATTCATGACAAAATCCCTACAGAAAATTGGAATAGAAGGTCTTTATCTCAATCTGATAAAAGCCATCTATGACAAACCAACAGCCAACATCATACTAAAGTAATGAATAAAAACGGAAAGCTTTCACTCTAAAATCAGGAACAAGACAAAGACGTCCACTGTCACCACTCTTATTCAATATAGTTCTGGAAACAATAGCCAGAACAATCAGAGAAAAGAAAGAAATAAAAAGAATAAGGATAGGAAAGGAAGAAGTTAAACTATCATTATTTGCAGATGACATGATACTCTTCATAGAAGACCCAAAAAACTCCAGCAAGAGATTTCTAGATTTAATAACCAAATTCAGTAGCAAAGCTGGATACAAAGTGAACACTCAAAAATCAATAGCATTCCTGTACACAAATAAGACTCACTGAGAGAGAAATTAGGCAGGCAGCGGAACCACTGAGCTAAATCCCCCGCCCTTGAGAGAAAAATTAGGAAAACCACACTTTTCAAAGCAGCATGCAAAAAAACGAAATACCTAGGAATCAATCTAACAATGGAAGTAATAGACTTTTACATGGAAAATGATAGTAGTCTGAAAAAGGAGTTTGAAGAGGATATCAGAAAATGGAAAGATATCCCTTGTTCTTGGATAGGAAGAACTAATATAGTGAAAACAGCCATACTTCAAAATTGTTATACAGTTTTAATGAAATCCCAATCAAAATACCAATAGCATATCTCACAGAATTACAGAAAATAATCCTAAAATTCATTTGGAACCCGAAGAGACCTAGAAAAGCAAAAGCAATTCTGGGCAACAGAGGCAAGGCAGGAGGCATCACCATCCCTGACTTGAAATTATACTCTAAGTTATTGAGATAAAAACTGGCAAAAAAAAAAAAAAGTGAGGATCAATGGAACAGATTAGAAGATGCAGAAACAACTCCAAACATACTCAGCTACCTTGTCTTTGACAAAGGAGCCAAACACCTTCACCGGAAGAATGCCACTTTAATAAATGCTGCTGGAAAAACTGGCTTTCCACATGCCAAAGATTAAAACTAGTCCCTTATCTTTCACCAAGCAGTAAACTAAAATCAAAATAGTTCAAAGATCTAAATATTAAAACAGAAACAGTAAATCTGCTGGAAGATAGAATAGGTAGAATTTTTGAAGACATTGTCTTTAGCAAAGACTTTATAAACAAAATCCTGAAAGCATAGGAAATATCACAAAGAATCAACAACTGGGATCTCATCTTATTAAAAAGCTTTTGCAGGCCTGGGGATTTAGCTCAGTGGTTCCGCCACCTGCCTCACAAGCACAAGGACTTGAGATCAATCCCTGGTACAAAAAAAACAAAAAGATCTACAATCTAGAATATATAAAGAGGTCAGGGGCCAGGGATGTAGCTCAGTGCATGGCGGCTGCCTGGCAAGTGCAAGGTCTTCAGTTCAATTCCCTGTACCAAAAAAAAAAAAAGAAGAAGAAGTAAAAAAAATCAGACCTCCCCCAACTTTTTATATTGTCCAAACATTTTTTTTTAGGAAAAAAATTTAGTGGTACATTTATGTACAATGCTAACATTCATCATAGGGAATTTGTACCTGTACACGATATATCTTGCTTCTTTTTTTTTCCCATTCTCCCCTTTAATCCCTCTTCCCCTCCTTATTTACAAAAACTTTGTTTCCATTTTTTCTTCTTTCTTTTTTTTTGTCCCTTCTTTCCTTTCTCTCTCCCCCTTCCCTTCTCATGTGAACATTTTCTTTCTATTTCCCAGTATCTTTTATACATTTCAGTCCTTATTTTCACTTCTGGCTTCTCACATCAGAGAAACAATTCAGTATTTATTTATGTATTTATTTATTTTTGTAACAGGGATTGAACTCAGGACCTTGCACTTTCTAGGCAGGTGCTGGAACCACTGAGCTAAATCCCTGGCCACAATTCAGTATTTGAACATGTGTGTTGGATTTATGTCCTTTAGGAGTATGGTCTCAAGGCACATCCATTTAGCTAGAAATGTCTTGAGGTTATCCTTTTTTACGGCAGAGTAATATTCTATTGTATTTTAAAAAACCCACTGCATCTTCTTTATCCATTCATCTGTCAGTGGACATTTGGGCTGTTTCTAAGATTTAGCTATTATAAACTGTGCCGCTATAAACATGAGAATCCCCAGATTTAAAGATCCAATCCAAAAACAGGCACTTGAAATGAATAGACACTTCTCAAATGAAGCAGAAATGGCAAATAAACATATGAAAAATGCTCACTATCACTCATCATTCAAGAGATGCAAATTTAAACAATTTTGAGATTCCATCTCACTCCAGAAAGGAAGGCTATTATTAAAAAAATCAACCAATAACAAATGCTGGCAGGGCTGTGGGGAAAAAGGAACCCTTCTCCACTATTGGTAGGAGTGCAGACTGGTGCAACCACTGTGGAAATCAGTGTGGAAATTCCTCAAAAAACTAAAACTAGAGGTTCCATTCGACTCAGCTATCCCCCTTCTTGGTATCTTCCTGAAAGAATTAAAAGCAGGGTTAGGGATGTAGCTCAGTGGCACTGTGACTGCCTGGCAAATGCAAGGTCCTGAGTTTGATACCTGGTACCAAAAAAAAAAAAAGAAGAATTAAAAGCAGCATACACATTGGTATATGCACACCCATGTTTATAGTGGCACAGTTTGTAATAGCTAAATCTTAGAAACAGCCCAAATGCTCATCAACCGACGAAATGGATAAAGATGTAGGTTGTTTTATACAATGGAGTACTACTTTGCCATAAAGAAGGATAAGCTTGAGACATTTCCAGCTAAATTGATGCACCTTGAGACCACACTCTTAAGTGACATAAATTGAACACATATGTTTAAATACGACATTGTTTCTCTTGTGTGAGAAACCAAAAGTGGGGATAAGGACTAAAATGTATAATAGATACTGAGAAATGGGAAGAAAATGTTCAAATGATAAGGGGAACAAGGAAGGGGGAGGGGGGAAAGGAAAGAAGGGACAAGGAAAAAAAGAATAGAAGGAAAAAATGGAGAGCTTTTGTAAATAAGGAGGGGAAGAGTGGTCAAAGGGAGGTGGGGAATGGGAAAAAAAAAGATATATCATGTACAGGTACACATTCCCTATGATGAATGTTATCATTATGTGTATCTACAATGTACCAATAAAAGTTTGGCTTCAAAAAAACAAAAACAAACAAAAAACCAAGCAATCTTAGCTCATAAAATTTGAAGGTTTAAGTAAGTCTACCAAGCTATGTGATAGAGCAAACTTTCCCTATAAAATTGGCCTCCAGGGCAGTGGGGGTGGGAGGGGATGGAAGCTGGTACAGCTTATTGGAAGCATGTGAATGATTTAGGCCATTGCTGTGCTTGGTCCTGAGGGACACTCAGCCCCACCTGACACCACTGCCCCAGAGGGTTTCCACTTACTGGGATGGAAGGGTTTAAACAAGCCAGAAATTCTGTCCTGGTTTCCTGCACTTGGGTCATTTTCTTTTTAAAATCTCATCTGCCTTACTCTGTAATGTTAGTCTTATTGGAAGTAGCACAATCCCATTACCAGGGAGAAATGTAAATAGTACTCTCAGTCGAACCCTGAAGGCTCTGAAAAACTTCCCCATCCACGGCCCGGGGATTTAGCCCAGTGGTTCTGGCGCCTGCCTCGAAAGCTCAAGGTCCAGAGTTCGATCTCCGGTACCAAAAAACCCCAAACAATCAAACAAAAAAACCCACTTCCCCAGCCTTAAAAGGCATCAAGGTGGAAAAACTTCTGGAGAAAAAGACTGAGTAAGGGGCTTCTTGGCACTTCCCTGAGGTTTTAACTTCCTTCCTGAGCTTTAAATCATGTCTTCTACAGGGGGGCTGACAAGGAGGGGTTTCCTGTGCCTAAACAAATAAAGATTATGTGCTCTGAGTGCTAAGAGAACCCCCTCCAGGGTGCAGTCATGGGAGCTGCTTGTTTTCACCCTTTCCAGCCTACCAAGCTTTCCTGCCAGCACAGACTACAACAATGCTAGCTGCTCTGGCAGGTCCTGGCTGTGTGCTAAAGAACAGAGACACAATTCGGGAGCCGACCCAGGGGAGCAGGAAACTGCAGCTGAGCCTCTACAAGGCCCTCTGTATTTCTGCTACATACCTGGTCTGTGCACGTCCTCCTGGACAGGTGAGACTTAAAAAGGATTCTGTGTGGAGCAGAGGAGAGGCGTGGGCTTTTAATGTTTTGTTTTAGCTTTTGTATTCATTTTCCACATGGCTGGAGGTGGTAACCTTTTCAGAATGCAATAGAAGAGACGTGCCCCCATGAAGTCAAATGTGGAAGAGTGAAAATGAAACCAGGTTAAAAAAAAAACAAAGGGAAAAGATACAAATTGTGTGTTTTGGTGTGGAAGTTACATTCTAACTAGAACGCTGGCAGTCACTCCACAGACATTTGCTATACAGCAAAGGGATACAAAGTGCACTTAGCTGCACATGGTGGCAACACCTGTAATCCCAGCACTCTGAAAGGCCGAGACAGGAGAATTACAAGTTTGAGCCCAGCCTGGGCAATTTAGACAGTTGGATCCTATTTTTATTTTTATTTATTTATTTTTGGGGGGGGATCAAACTCAGGTCCTTGTGCTTGAGCAGCAGGCGGCGAAACCACTGAGCTAAATCCCCAGCCCTAGATCTTATTTTTAAAAAAGAAGAGGCTGTGGATAAATTTCAGTGTGAGGCCCTGGGTTTAATTCTTAAAAAGAAAAAAAAAAAAAGATAAGCACACCTGTCTCTACTTCCAGTAAACGTCTAATTTATGTACTTTATGGCCTATTACAACTCATCCAACTATAATACATATCCAATTACCCTATTACATCTGATGGCCTTTAATGCTGTGGGTATCTGAACTTGTAACTCTTCCTGCTTAGGTGTAAGGTTACTCAACTCAGTTACCTGCAGCCATGGCAAGGGCCCAGAGGCTGAGAGGATATTGAAGCGCTTGTGGTCTATTTCTCTTACTGTGTGAGGGGGTTGTGTGTCTTGTCCACGACACACGCCAAGGTAATGGTGAGCCCAAAGTGGGTCTTGGCTCTCCAAGTCCTTCCAACAAAGTGTTTATTAGTCCTTTGTCATCTTCCTGATAGCTTTTTGAAAAGCAACCCCCCCCCCCACACACACTTTTTCTGGTACTGGGGATTGAACCCAGGGCCTTCCAACTGCTCTGCAGCCCTTTCTGAATTTTTCTTATTTTGAGATAAAGTCTCACTAAATCACAAAGTTGCCCAGGCTAGGCTTGAACTTTTTTTGTTTTTATTTTGAGACGGGGTCTTGCTAAGTTGCCCAGAGTGGACTTGAACTTGATTCTTCTGCCTCAGCTTCCCAGAATACTTGGATTACAAGTGTGTTCCACCACACTGACTTGAAAGTCTCTCTCTCTCTCTTTTTTTTTTTTTGAGATAGGATCTCACTCTGTAGCTCACATTGGCTTTAAACTTGAGGCAATCTCTTGCCTCAGCTTCTAGAGTGCTGGGATTACAGGCATGTGACACTACTCCGGGCCACAAAAGTCTTTTTAAAAAACTGAGCTGTCCAAGCAAAAAGAGATTTATTTTTAATTGCTTTAAACAGCTTAGTTAAAGAGAATGTTGCATGCTGAATAAAAAAATAGACTTAACGGCTTGGTCTTGTGTCTCCTAGGTCATAGATGTAGGTCACTCACCACTAGAGGGCACACAGTTTTTCTCAGTTAATTTAAAGAGGCTTCCAAAATCGGCCTGCAAATGAGTTTTATCAACATGATGACATTTCCCATCAACCATAACAGGTAAATGGCCATTTCTCCAGGATATTAAGTTGATGCAGACATACTGGCTCTGGACATAAGTACACACACACACACAGATATAAATGTATGGGATAATTCATATACAAATTACACACTAAGTATATATTATACGTTAATAAACATTTGTCACAATGTCATTATTTTAGATTCAAGCCTGCTATGTTCTCAAAAGACTTCTTATTTTCAGGCAGCAGGCAGATTTTTGAAGTAAAAAGCTAATTTTGAAGCCAACATGCTTCCGGAGCACTCACACAAATTCTAGTGGGCTCCTGCCAAGATGTGCAGGCCCACAATATTCCAATTCCATCTTGCTTGTTGTTGGGGGTCCTCGAGTACTTTTGATTTAAAAGACAGCAAAGGAAAGGAGAATTTATTCTGCTATGAAAAGAAGTGAACACAAGCTAGGTAATTTCCTTAACCCTCCTTCTTACTGATCCTTAGGTCCTTCTGATCAGAAGATTGGAGATTTATACCTGGAGCCCTAAAAATCCAGCCTCTGAGAAGTCCAACCATTTTCTGGCTGCATTATATAAGTTTTAGACAAACTTACCCACATATTGACAGAAGTTAAATTACTATATACTATTTTTATCAACTACTATCATAGCATCATCCTGTCCATTAAAAAAAAAAAAAGAAGCCTTAAAAAGAATTGTCTTTTGTAAACAAGGGAGGGTTGGGGACTTTGAAAGTCTGGTGCCTCTGGCTGCCTGGTCAGAGCTGCTCGTGACATTCTGGGTTCTGCTGAGCGGTTTCCCTGCTCCATGGCACTTACCTCACTGGAACTGCAGTTGCTTTCCCATGCCCTGGAAGACATATTGAAAAAGGATACATCTAGTTCACTCTGGAAAAGAGAAAAAGAGTGCACAGGTGAGAAGGAGGCCAGAGGGAGAGGGTGCTCTGAGCCTGACAGCCCCTGCTCTACCTCTGACCCGGGAAGCAGAAAACGGGATAGGGATTTTTTTTTTTTTTTGGTACCAGGGATTGAGCTCAGGACCCTGCACTTTCGAGACAGGCACAGTGTCACTGAGCTAAATCCCCAGCCTTTTGTTTTGTTTTGTTTTTTTAAGTTATAACCTGCAGAAGAATATGAGAGGTCAGAATAATTTCTCTTGAGAAAGTTGAGGGAATAATAAACTAATTCAACCTTTACAGATGGTAGGGCATTTGATACACATATCAGAAATCCTAACAATGTACCACATGCTTTGAATCCATCGATTTTACTTCTAGAAGTTTATCCTAAGGAAATAATTGGACAATGGCACAATGATATGTGATACAACATTCTGGGGGAGGTTGTTTATAATAGCAAATTATTGATAACAACCTATCTATTAAGGGATAAGCAGTGAAGCAAATGATATCTTATCCACAAATGATGATGCAGACATGTAAATACTGACATATTGCTAAATAAAGCAAGTTAGGAAATGGTGTACAGGCAGTCCTCTGTCTCCATGGATTCTACATCTGTGAATTCAACTAATCACAGGTATAAAATATTTGGGGGAAACTGTGTCTGTATGAAACATGCAAAGATACCTCCCCACCCTGTGCTGTTATTCCTTGAGCATAACTATTTACAGAGAATTTCCTTTGCACTGGCTTTTTTTTTTTTTTTTT